AGGCTATAAATTGCACAGGAGGAGATTGCCCTTTTTTCCACTAAGAAACCACTAAGGCATTTGAATTCAGGGAGGTACAGCCTTCAAATTAGAAGCCAGCTCCCTTAAATGACTGGCACAAGGTAGACCCTCAACAGAGGCCCTTCTGGTTAGAGCAGTTCTTTCCAAATTGAGTTGAAGGGCCGGTTTTTAATTCCCAATTTGTCATACTCCGATGTTTTTATAAATGATAATAAATATGCATATAATTTGTTTCATAGAATAAAATGAAAGCAAAACCATACAAACGACTCTCGCCCACTGTTGAATGATTAGATTCATCAGACCAAGCATATTCTGTCAAATTATTATGGCATTTCTAAACATGTACTCAGAATTCCTGCGTTCCTTCCTGGGGTTGGATGATAGACTCGTGCCAGTTCTTGGACCACTTTGAGTAGCATGGGTTTAGAAGACTCTCCCGTTCTGGTGGTGGTGGTGGTGGTGTGTGCTGTGGAGTCAGAAGCAACTCATGGCTGACCCTCCAGCAGGTTTTCAGAGTCTGTAAATCACAGGAAATGGCCCATCATTCTCCCAGGGAGCAGCTGGTGGATTCGAACCTTACTCTCTAGGCCCCCACAGCTGCTTATTCTGCGGAAAGGTGGGAAGTGTCTCAGGATGGAGAGCTAACTGGAAGGAGCTGGTTTCCATTGGCAAGGAAGGGAACAGCCAGCTGGCTCAGTCAAGGCAGGACAACTGGTTACCTGGCCAGGAGGAGGAGGAGGAACCTGACGGCACACTGATTCAGAGCAGGGGCGGGGCGTGGAGGCCTGGTGATTGGCATCGGCTCTTGAGGCTTGATACCCGGTGATTGGCAGTGGCACTTGCAGAGGTGGGGCTTGATGTCTGGTGATTGGAAGTGGACCTGGCAAGATGTCCCGGTGATTGGCAGCAGCTTAAGCAGAGGCGGGGCTTGATGCCCAGTGATTGGTAGTGGCTCTAACAGAGGTGGGGCTTGATGCCTGGAGATTGGCAGCAGCCATAATTCCCCAATGCTGTGTAACCATCATCACTATCCTTTTCCAAAATTTCATTGTCACTCTTAAGAGAAAGTCAGTGATGATTGATTGTGAACCTGTGTCACATCAAGGATCGCACATGTATTAATACTTTTTAAAATTTCATTTTAGATTGGTGCTTAAAAGTAAGAGTAAAAATGTCCATCTAACAGTGCTACTTAACTAACCCATCTCCTTCCTCCCTCCTTCTGCGGGGAGCTCTGGACACAGTCCATAGACAGTGTGCTGTTCACTCAAGGGTGGCACCTCTGTTGGTTCAAATACACTCGAAGCTGGGCAGGAGAAAGATGGCCAGTCTCTTCAGGTTGTGGTTCACAGCCTCAGAAGCCTGTGGAAGGTTGCTGTGAGTTTGAGCTTTTGAGGAAGGGGCCATAGTGGCACAATGATGAAGTGCTCTCCTGCTAACCAGGTTTCAAGACCACTGAGTCTGTTCTCCATAAAGATGACCCATTGCCGTGAAGTTGATTTCAACGTGGAATGTCTACAAGATTGGAGAGTCTCGGGTCGATTCTGCTGCATGGTAGAATCTTAGCAGCAAACCTTTCAAAGATTACAGCCTAGAAAACCCCGTGGGACAGTTTTCCTCCATCCTGTAGCTTCCCTGTCGATGAGAATGGTTTTGACACAACAGTAGCTTACGGATGTTGAACACCCTTTCATGTGCTTCGTGGCTATTTGTTTATGTATTGTCCGGAAATGCCTTTTTCCAAAAATGCTTTTTGCACGGTTTTTAATATTTTGGTTTTTTACTGTTGAATCATAGGTGTTTTAAAATATCTATTTTAGGTACTAGATCTTTACTGAGTTATTTACATTATCAGTATTTACAAATATTTCTTCCATTTCTCTACAGTGCCCTTTGAAGCACAAGTTTTTAATTTTTTTTCTTTTATGGTTTGTGCTTTTGATTGTGTCATCTCTTTATTTAAATTAAAATATTTGTGTGTGTGTGTGTGTACCATCAAATTGGATCTGAGTGGTACAGGAGTAGATTGCCTCTCCTTCTCCAGCAGAGTATCTGGTGGTTTCAAATCATGTACCTAGTGCCACTTCTTGCCACTAGGCTCCCAGAGCTCCCTTTGTGCCATTTCAAAGAACTCCTTACATAGGAAATCCATTTGCTCCAACCCTATTTGTTAAAGAGACTATTCTTTCCCTCTTGTATGAACTTGGCACTGTTATTAAATTAATCTCAGATGAATGAGTTTGTTTCTGGACTTTTCAGTTATCCTCCATTGACTTATATTTCTGTTGAAGCCTTAGTGGCATAATGTGTATTGTGTTGGAAGGTTGATGGTTTGACTCCAGTTGCTTAATGAAAGAAAGAGGGGCAGTCCTTCTGTCTAGATTTAGAGCCTTGGGAACCTGACGGACGATGACTGAGTCAGAAGGCGGCGGTGGTTTGAGCTTCAGATTTTTGGTCAATGGTCGTAGTCTATCTTGGGAACTCTCGTGGCCGAGTAGACAGGGAGTTGTGTTCCCATCCCAAGGGTGGGTGGTTTGAATGCACTGGCTGCTCCAGAACAGAAAGATGGACAGTTTCCTCCCCTGCAGTTGGCACCCTCTAACAACCCACTGGAGAGTCAGCTGTGGGTCGGTTGTGGCTTGCCGGCACTGAGCAGGATTAGAGTAGCTCTAGTGAAAGTTTGACAGTCTGTTGTAATGAGTGTCACGTTACAGTATGAGAAAATGTAAGTCCTTGTACTTCATTTTGATTTTTCAAAGCTTGCCTCTTGAAGTTTCATTTGAACATGAGGATCAGCTTTTCCATTTCTGCTCAAAAAACCCCACTTTGTTGGGATTTTACTAGAGATTGCACTTAATTTGTAGATCTCTTCAGGTAGAATGGACATCTGAATGGTAAGTTTTCAGTCCATGACCACAGATGTCTTGCTGTATTTCTAGCTTCTTTAGTTTCGTTTAGCTGTCTCGTTGTTCTCAGTGTTTAAGTCATTGACTTCCTTGGTTCAGTTTTTTCCCCCAGGTATTTATACTTTTAAATGCTACTGTAAGTGGAACTGTTTTCTTCCTTTTGGGCGTAGTGTCTCAGATTGTTTATTGCGGATATCTAGAAACATAGCTTATTTTTCCTTGTTGATCTTGTTTACTGATATTGGTAAATGCATCTTCTTTTGAAAAGGTTGGAAAAGGAGGAGTGTCAGTTCTTTGGAGTGTCTGTTCTTTAAATGTTTGGCACATCATCCTCTCAATTTACAGATAATAAAAGAGAGGTAGCTCTGGTTGTTTAGTGGTAAGGAGTTGTACTGTCAACCCAAAGGCATGCAGTTCGAATCCACCATATACTTCTTGGGGAAAATATGAACAGCTTCCTCCCATGCAATTTACAGCCTCTGAAAACCTGCTGGAGGGTCAGCTATGAGTTGATTCTCACTTGATGGTAAAGAAAAACAATAACAGTAACAAAGGGGGAAGCAGCTTACCCAGAGCCAGATTATGTGTAGCTGAAGAATGGATCCACCACTAAGCCTCCCAGCTGAGATCTGGAGATGGAGAGAAGGTTGCCTTCCATTCCTAGCTTGACTTAATTTTTATTTCTGATTAGGTCATGTAGTCAATGGTTCAGCATTCCAGAGGTTCCAGAATCAAGAGTGAATAGGCTCCTGGCCTCCTGTGCACCCCCAGTGCACCCCCAATAAGCCCTCAGGGCTCTCAGATATTTGTGCATTCTCTCACATAACTCTCAGGCTTAAACAGTGGCGTATCGTGTTCACAGGTGTGCACTCTGCTTTCTTTTCTGTTTATCCTGGTGCTCATTCCACAGCAGCACAGAGAGTTTCCTCATTCCATTCTGCTCCCTTTCTGTGAATTCATCATATCCCTTTTTTTCCACCCTCGCACACTTTAGATACCGCTTCCCTATGGGTGGGCATGCTGAGAGGGAATGGATTTCCCAGGAAAGGTTATGGGCCCAGAATGCTGCCTCACGGTCAGAAAGAGCACTTGTAAAGGACGAGGCCAAGCAGACATTCCTGGAGACATTTTTTGGCTACTAAACATCCCAAGCTTTGTGGCTTCCTGGTCGGGTGTTTGAGAGGCTCTGACTCACCTGACTGGTATTTATTGGCTTCAGTACCAAGTGGCAGAGGCACTGGGTGGTACAGACAGTTACCAAGCTTGCTATTGAATGAAACATTGGTGATCACAGGCCGGAGCTCTCACCGTGGTAGAGGGAGGTGGTATCTGACACCCAGATAGACAGGTGCGGTGTCTACGGGTGAAGGAGCATGCATGAGAAACTATGTCCCAGGGTTTGTGTTGCTACACAAGTAAATCTGATTTCTGCTTTCACTTTTTGCTTTGTCTGCTAGGTTATCCCTAAGTCCTTTTATTTATTTATTTTTAAATTGTGTGTGTGTGTGTACCATCAAATCAGATCTGACTGGTACAAGAAGAGGTTGTCCCTCATTCTCTGGCAGAGCATCTGGTGGATTCGAACTGTGCACTTCTGGGATTACAGTTCAGCTTCTTGCCAGTAGGCCACCAGAGCTCCCCTATCCCTAAGTCCTTTTAAAGTACCTTAAACATGAATAAAATAGCTGTAATCATACAGACATTAGAAGCATGAGAAAAGCCATTGTGAGGCTACCTTATGTATATTCCCTCTCCAGTAATTTGAAGAGAATTCTTTCCTGGATTGGGAGTTTATTAGCACCCCAGAGCACGGGTATAGTTTTATCATTTGTTTTAAATTCTAAAAATCAGGGAATTTGTTCCAAGTGTCTCTCCAACTGAAAATAAATGCAGAGAGGGAAATATGTCACTTGACCCTGGGTAAGTGCCCAAGTATTTTTATTTGAAGACTTGTAGGGGATGGATCTTTATTTTCTTGGACTGAGGCACCATGTGCCCGTACTACTGTCCACACCCACCTTGCTCAGGGGATTCTGAACTCACTACACTGACGCTGACATGTCTTTTCAGATGACTTTGGGAAGTTACTCCTGGCCGAGTCCCTCCTGGAACAGTGTTTGAAGGAGAACCACGCCAAGGTCAAAGACTCCGTCCCTTTGGAGAAGAGCGAGCCAAAGATCCTAGAAGCGAGGAATTATCTGAGTAGTATTCTTAGTCACGGGAAGCTATCAGTGAGTATTCAGCCCTCCCATCTGCTGTCAAACCCTCTGGGGCCATGTGGTTACTGTACCCTCAGGCCTCGCGAAAGACCTGACTCTTAGCGGTAACAACTAAGCCATGTGTGGCTGTCATGTACTTAAAATGTGCCTAGTACCCATGGAGATGTGCTGACCCAGGATTTCTGAGTCTAACAGAATGTCAAATATTCCAGTGATTTTCTACATTGATTAGGGAGGATAAAGCTTTGTATATACTGTTGTTCTTGTTGTTATGTGCTGTCGTGTCGCTTGCGACTCATAGCGACCCCATGTACAATAGCCCTAAACCCTGCTCTGTCCTATGCCAATCTCACTGCCTCTGACACACGCATCCCGATCACCCCAGTCACTGAATCAGTCCACCTCATTGAGGGTCTTCCCATCCTACACTGTCCCTCTACCCTCCCAAGCATGATGTCCCTCTCCAAGGACCTGTCCCTACTTACAACATGTCCAAGGTATGTTAGACGAAGCCCCAGAATCCTTGCCTCCAAGGAGCCGCCTGGTTTAACCCTCTCCAGGATGAATCTGTTGTTCTCCTGGCAGTCCCTCAATACTCTTCTCCAACACCACAGCTCAAAGGCATCAGTTCTCCTTCTATCCTTCCTAGTCATTATCCAGCTCTCTGATGCAAAGGTCATAGCCTGTGTCAGACACACCTTAGTCTCCAGAGTGAAACCATTGCTCTTCAGTACCCTGGAGCAGTCCCTAACAGCAAATTATGCTATAAAAATAAATTTCATCTGCATTTATCACTTTTAACGTACTTGTTAGAAAGTGTAAAGTTCCATATGTGGCTTACAGCTGTGGCTCATGACTGGTGGCCTAATGCTAACGCATTGAGCTGCCAACCCTGAGGCACGTGGTTCAAATCCACCAACTGCTCTGAAGAAGAAAGGCAGTCTCCTAAGCAATTTACAGTCTCTGAAAACCCTTTGGAAGATCAGCTATGAGTTGGTTCTGACTTAACAGCAATGAGCTAAGTTGACTTATCTTGACTTTCTCCCCTTGGCCCTGAGAGGGTCATAGAGTAATAAGACCTCAGCGAGTTCGTGGTGTGCTGGAAACTGTCACACACAGAATTGACTAGAGTAGAACTCATAACTAGATGAGATTGTGTTGATTCTCACTCATGGCGAGCCCCTGTGTACAGTGTAGAACTCCATGTTCTGTGGGGTATTCAGCACTGTGACATTTCTTAAACAGTTCTATAGGGGCCTTAGGTGTCTTTGGGTGGGCTTGAACTGCCAACGTTCTGGTTAACAGCCAAGCACTTAATCAACTATAGCTCCTGAAGGAGCTATAGAAGAAATGCAGTCACAACTCTCTCTAGATCTTTGTTACCTTGAGCCCAATCCATATCCCTGTAGTGTGAGGGAGATGTGAATCAGAACCTGCATTCTCACAAGATCTCTCGGTGGTTTATGTGCACATTGGTATGTACGAAGAGTGTTCCAGATTACATATTCTCTGAGTTCAGGACTATGAAAAGTTAAAGAAATGTGAGTGCGGGGAAGGTAAGGATAGATTTACACAGAGGGAAAAAAACCCCAGCCAAATCCTGGGAGGGAAGAGGAGCAGAGGTAAAAATCAGTAAATAAAATTTTCAAATTGCCTTCCATGCATCTGAAAACTGGACAATAATGATGACAGGAGATTTGGGTGGGACCTTTGAGCAGTGGTGTTGGAGAAGAGTACTGAATATCCCCTGGACTGCCAGAAGAACCAACAACTAAATCTGGGGAAAAGTGCAACTAAAATGTCTCTTGGAGGCTAAGAAAGCTTCAGCTCATAATTTGGGCACGTTGCTAGAAAAGGCTATTCTTTGGAAAGGGGCCTCATGCTTGGAAAGGTGGAGGGTCAGCAGAAGACAGGAACACTGTCAGTCAGCTAGGTTGACACAGTGACCGCAGCAGTGGGCTCAGGAATGTCAGAGATGAGGATGGCCAGGAAAGGACAGGGTTCAGACCTGTTCGTAGGGTTGCTATGGGTCATACTCGACACAGCACCTAACAATAAGCATAACAAGTAATAGACATGTTGAGTAGAAGGGAAAGACACTATATGATAAAGGGGTGGTTGTAATATTGCCGTTGAAAGGGAAGACATGGTGAGGTGCACAAGACATACAGACGTCAGAATTAAAAAAACCAAACTTCTTGCCATTGAGTCAGTCCCTCGACTGCATTTTTAGAGGATGCAGACTCAAGAGAGGAAATTGTTCATCTTTCTCCTTCAAAATAGCTGGTAGATTCAAACCACATGCCTTTGGGTTGGCAACACAGCTCCTTACCCACTAGGCCACCAGAGCTCCCAACAGACATCAGAGAAAAACATTATTGCATGCCCAGTCATGCAATGTCATGTAGTAGTAATAATAAACAGGGATGTGTAAGTGGACACATAGGCTTATAGACAAAGCGTGGATATGATTTTACATTACAGTGCATTTTTAGCTTTTGTGAGGGTATGTTTATGCCATTAGAAACCTAAAGAGGAAGTAATTTTTCAAGAGGTGTTTGAAAACAATAGCTCTACTGACTTCAGGACTTGATCAAGCACTTCCTGTCTGTAAGACATGGTGTTAATGTGCTTTGAGAACAATAAGCACGAGTTCAGCATGGACCCTGCCCTCAAGGACGTTGCAGACCTGCTGAGACCATCTGCAAGTGAATCGGCGTGGTCCAAGGTGGACTATGACACAACTTAAACAGTGGTTGTAAGAGGGGGGTCTGGAGAACCACTTCCCTGGGATGAGACAGGGGACAGATGCAGGGTGATGGTCGTGGGTTTGAATGCTTGTGAGGGCTGGGTACCAGGAGGGTCATGGACACACAGGGATAGGGCCGAGCATCCCAAGTAAGTAAGCTGTGTATAATCTAAACCTTCCTCTAGGAAACCGAATGTAGTTCCGTTTCAAATTCAAGGTCATTACTGTCATGTCTGAACCACTTTAAAGCTGATCCTCCAAAAGGTTTTCAGAGGCTGTAAATCCCACAGGAGAAATTTGCCCATCTTTCACCTGAGGAGCAGCTGGTAGATTCGAACCATCTATCTTTGGGTTGGCAGAGCAGCTCCTTACTGCTAGGGCACTAGAGCTCCCTAGTAAACAAGTATTTTGAATAATAAATAAAGGACCTTGTGTTCTACCCCAAGCGCACACCCACCTGTGTCTTCAGAGCCAAGCACTAGGTACTCTCTGGTGTGGCCCCATTCCCTGAGCATTTGCAAACCTACGTGCATGCATAGAGAGTTTCTATCTTGTCAGAATCATAGGAAGAGCTATATGACAGTTTGATATTTTTTTTTTGTTTGTTTTTATTTTTGTGTGAGTGTAACGTCAAATCAGATCTGACTGGTACAGGAGGAGATTGTCCCTCCTTTTCCCGGCAGAGCATCTGGTGGATTCGAACTGTGTGCTTCTGGGATTGTAGTTGCAGCTCCTTGCCACTAGGCCACCAGAGCTCCCCTGACAGTTTGATATTTTTCACTTAGAACTTTTTCTTTGAATTGTACTGGCTGAATTGTAACCATATGCAATGTATTGAAATTGGTTTTGTTTGCTATATCACATATATGAAATACAAATTTTACCGTGTTTTATTAATCAAAGACTTACATTGGTACCAGAAGTAGTGAGAAAGTCACCGTTATGCCAGTGTATATGTTTGTCTTCAGACAAGGACATCATGCAAGATAAAATGTTGTATTTGTAGCATTCTCTGATCTTACCTCAAAGGTCAGGATGTGTCTAGAGGAATAATCTTTCTTGGCAGCAAGTGGCCACGCACAGGGTTCCCCGATGCATCTTGAGTAGCTCTGCCGGAGTCGGGGGGGGGGCGGGTACGAGGGTACTGAGACACCCACACTAGATGATCTCAGAGTCCTGTCCAGTTCATTTCTGTGGAGAGCACTTGAAACAAACCCCCCAGACAGTGCACTGTCTCTTTAATGGTTACCTGAGATGACGTTGTCTCTTACCCCAGTTCCAGGTGAAGGCGCTGGAACCTGGGGAAACTAAGGCCCTGAGCCAAGCCCCACAGCTGGAGGTGCAGAACTCGAACCAGGCCCGTTTGTCTCCACACCCTACCCTCTCATGCTCTTGCCACTTCATGTTGCAGCCTTCCTAAGTACTAGAGTTGTTGTTCATGCCATCTTGTCAGCTATGACTCCTAGTGATCCTGTGAACAATGGGTCTGAACCTTGCCTTGTCCTGTGCCAACCTCATCACCTCTGATATGCTCAAGGCCATTATTGATTGGATCGCAGTCCCGTACTATATCTGTGGACTGTTTCCTCATCTCTTCTCACTTCTTACCCAGGGAACACTGCATGACTGAAAATCAAGGAAGGTAGACGTCAAGATTGTATCTTTTCTCCAAACCTGCCTAGTCTGTATGTTGACCAAATCATTGAAGAAGCTGGACTTTAGAATGTGGCATTGGGAATGGAGGAAGACGCATCAACAACCTGCGTAATGCAGATGACACAATCTTGCTTGCTGAAAGTGAAGGGGACTTGACACACTTGCTCCAGAAGATCAAAGACTACAGCCTTTGATATGGATTGTATCTCAGCATCAAGAAAAAAGTCCTCACCATAGGGCCAGCAGGCAACTTCCTGATAGAGGGAAAAATGGTTGAAGTTGCCAGCAACTTAATTTTACTTGGATTCACAGTCAGTACCCATAGTGACTACAGTCAAGAAATCTAAAGACGTGTTGTGCTGGGAATATCTACTGTCGAGGACCTCTCAAAAGAGCAAGAATGTCCATTTAAAGACTTAAGGTGTACCTGATCGAAGCCATTATATTTTCACTTGCTTCTTGTGCATCTGAAAGTTACATAATGAATAAGAATGGCAGAAGAATTATTGATGCCTTTGAATTGTGATCCCGGGGTTGATTATGGACTACATCTCACAGACTTCCAGAACAAACCTTTTGTGGAGGAAGTGCACCTAGCGTGCTCCTTAGGGGCAAGGAGAGTGAAACTTGATCCCACAGACTTTGAACTTGGGGGGGGGCGGGGAGAGCGGGAATCCTTCCTTGGAAAAGGCATCATGCTGGGAAAGGTGGAGACTCAGAAAGGAAGACCCTCACGGAGATGGGCTGACACTATACCTGCAGCAGTGACAGAGTTCGTTAGGATGGTGCAGGAGAGGACAAGGTTCAGATAGGGTCTTAGTGGCACCTAGCAACAACCCCGTTACCACATGGGGCCATTCTTCCCAATCAATTGACAGGGACATCGAGGCACAGAAACAATGGCTGACATTCCTCAGACTGACCTAGTATCCTTCCAGACCATGTGCGTTTCCAGTTCAAATGCACAAGCTCCACAGAGTGCAGCGAGATGGTTTTGCAAACTAAGGGCCATGGGAGAATGACCGACACTCAGTTCCCATGCAGTCTGCTGCCTTTGAAAACCTGTTGGAGGACCAGCCGAGTCAGTTCCAGCTCAGTGGTACTTAACAACAACAGGGACTTTAGAAAAGCAAAAACTGAACAAAACTTCAAAACTGCATTATCTCCTCTTGCCATCACTCCATGAAGGAAAGGATATCACAAGGTAAAAAAAACCAAGACTTCAGGTCATAGGGGCGGCCTTTACGATAAAGTGGGCTTGGCTCTGTGAACCAGCCACTGCAGTGCAGTGAGCCTGAGAGCGTCCATCCACCCGTCTCTGAACCCCGCGGGAGGCTCAGCCATCAGTTGGATTTGCCATGACGGCCACGCGTACGTGAATCCTACCCTGGATTTACCCAGCTGCTTCCTCAAGAACCTTTCGGACCTCTTTTCCGGACTTGGCCTTGCAAAGGCTCTCAGGGCCCTCAGCATGCATCACTGCAGTGGATGTGGGGAGTGCGTCCTCTGAGCTCTCTCTCACCAGCAGAGGAACCATGATGCCAGCAGGAAGGACTTGGGTGCATGGCCTGGAGGTGCAGAACAGCAAAGCCATCGTCCAGCTTGTTTGGCCTGTAGTATGTGTCTTCTGAGGCCATGAAGCTGTCCTGGCCTGGGCAGTTGGGTGGCCTATTTGGGGAGATCAGAAGATGCCCTTGAAAACGTGAGCATTTGCGAGTTAATCAGGAGAGCAGGAAGCCAGGCTCCATACTGTCGGCCGGGGCCGAGTGAGTGCACCTCTTGGTGTGGGGAATCGTTTCAGCAGAAAGGAGCTCACTGGTGCTCCTTTGAGGATGTGCTGGGCCTGGGAGAACCCAGAGGCTGGAAAAGGATTTGTGTATGGCAAAGGGAAGGGGAGGAGGTTCCACATAGGGGCCTGTGTGAGCCAAGGCAAAAGAGGGTGATGGTCTAGTTACCCAGCCCAGAAGGAGCTGTGTGGAAGCAGAATTCCACTGCCTAGGAACGTGGCGGCGCTGTCCCTTGTGTCTCTTAGCTGGCTTCGTTAATAGATCATGGGGTGTGGAGGAGGTCCCCCTGGAGTACAGCTTCCCCGGATACTTGTCTCCTTCAGTTAGTTAGAGGCCACCCCTTGCTGCTAGGACAGAGGCTGACAGTGCGACCCTGAGTGGTGACTCCTAGGAACATTGGGAACATGACGGATGCCTGTGTGGCAGGAGAGGTGCCCAGAGTCAAGTCCAAAGGGTGTTGGCCAGCTGGACACAGGAATCCAGGTTTTCAGTGGTGGGTGAATGAGGGGCAGGGCTGGCCCAGGACCATGGCTGGGCCCACTGACCCTCTCGTCAGCAGCTGGCAGTTCTGGTGAGCAGTACCAGAGCTGGCGGAGGTGTCACAGCGAAGACCAGAACTCCCTGGACCGCCCAGCAGGTCCTGAGGACCCTTCAGTGAGGCTGGGATATGGGTACAAGCAGCCCTTAGGAGAGTAGGAGGCCAGGCAGGTAAGTACAGGCACTTCTGGCCTCTTGCTTCTGAACTTTGCCCCACTTCTGATAAGACTGGTGAGGTGCCCGGCAGGCCTTCTCTCTTCTGTCTCAAGCTGGTGATGTCTGAGCCTTCTCCTCCCACCTCCTTCAGGTTCCGTTCTCTCACTCGTATAGACTCCTGGCACGGCCTTGCTGTTGGAGGTATGAGTACTCCCTGATTAGGTGGCAGAGATCTGGGGAAGGAGCTGGCACTGCCAGTCCAAGGCAAGTGGTTTGAGTCCCCCAGCTGCTGCTCTAGAGAAAGATGGGCAGTGTCCTCACATGTGAGTTACAGTCTCAGAAAACATGTTGGAAGCTCAGGTAGGAGTGAGTTCCAGCTTGAATTACTAAGGTATTGAGGGAGCTCGACCTGTAGAGAATCGCGCTGCTAACTCAAAGGCCACAGCTGTCTGGTGGCTCCAAGGGAGAAAGATGTTGGGTCTTCTTCAGTTAAACCCAATGGATGGTCAGCTGTGAGTTGGTTCTGTCTTGACAGCAATGAGTGAGTGAGTGAATGATGTATTTGTAAGTGGGTATTTGCCTTAAGAGGATCCCTGGGAGCTCTGGTGGCCTAGTGGCAAGAAGTTGTGCTGCAGTCCCAAAGATTCCCAATTCAAATCCACCAGATGCTCCTCTGGAGAAGGAGGGGCAGTCTCCTTCTGTGCCAGTCAGATCTGATCAACAGTACACAACAACAAAAAAATTGTACGCTGTACAATTTTACTTGACTAATTGTACCACCTTTGGCTCTGTCCCCAGCTCCCTTGCCGTGAGTTCCAGAGAAATGGCTGACCTCCGGGGGCCCAGCCTACCTGGAGCCCTGGGCAGCAGGAAAGGGGGCAAGGCTTGTCTGGAAGTCACCTGGACTTTGGGTGGGGGCATGAGACCCCCGCACAGGAGCTGGTTAAGGGCTTGTCCAGGGTTACCTCCAGAGCTGTGCTGTCCACCAGGGCCTGGAGCATGGAGTGAAGGGTCTGGGGGCTCTAGCAGTGTGTGCAGCCGGTCAGTGTGGCTCATGGCTCAGCAGGAACCCTTGTCCTTTCAGCCACAGTACCTGCAAGAAGCCATGCTGATCCTGGGCAAGCTGCATTACCTGGAGGGCTCCTACCGCGATGCCATCAGCATGTATGCCCGGGCGGGGATCGACGACATGTCCATGGAGAACAAGCCCCTCTACCTGATGCGGCTGCTGGCGGAGGCCTTCGTCATCAAAGGTAGCGGTCCTGTCTCCCTGCTCCCCTTAACTCTCCGTCACACTATCCAGCGAGTGATGCCCCAGCGCCCAGGTGCCCGGAGCAGGGGGCAGCCGTGGGGCAGGGTGCTGCCGAGGTGGACTTTGCCTTCTAGGGCTCATGTTCTAGACTTAACCCCGGGTAGTGTCCAGACACTGGTCAACCAGGATGGGTACCAGCCATGACGGCGCAATCTGGTAGAGCTGTCAAAACCCTCATGCTCACGCACTCCCCTAGTTACCCAGCCTTGTGCCTTTGGGTGACTCACATCACTGGGCCCCTGTTCACGTCTGTAAATTTGCCGTCTCCGTTTACCGTGAGCGTGTAGGAGCTGGCTGAGAAAGGCTTACCGAAATGGCTGGGTGCCTCTGGTGTCTGAGGCTTACTGGTGTCTAGTATCGGGGAGCTGGGCATTGGCTCTTGCTGTGACCAGCCCGCCAAGTGGGTTCAGGGAGCTGCTTTTGCCTGGAGGAGCTCACAGTGTTCCTAGGTCAGGATCTTGGGGACTCAGGCTAGTGAGGTCAACATTTTAGGAGGGCCACTGTGGATGGATCGCTTGGGACCCAGCATGTGTGAATTGTTAGGAAAACCCTCTCCCTAATTTGGTGCTTCCAGCACCTCTTCCCTAAAATTAGGGTCCCTATGGAGTGGTCCTGGCTAGATGTGAGTTCCAGGAGTCCCTCTGTCCCCTCTGATACCAGTAATCAAGGATGTTTGATTCTCTCCATGTCCATGCACAAACCGACCCCCAGAGAAATGGCTGGAAGTGCCTGTGGCTATGTGGGCATAGAGTTCATGCCACCCTCGGTTTTGCTGTAGAAAAGAATATGCTCCTCTTGGATATGAGGAAATTGAGACCCAGAGGGAATTCAGTTCCTTGTCCACAGTCACCCAGAGATTTGTGATGCAGTCAAGGCTCGGACTTGCGTTCTTGGGCATAGGCGAGCCTTGGAATAGGCAGGACCTCTCAGCCCCCGCCCTCTTCTCTGTCACACTCACAGGTGCCTCCCTCAGATCCCCGAAGGCGTGACTGTGACATCTGTACAGCAGACCCTTCGTAGCTCTCAGTGGTAGAGGCTGATTTTTTCTTTAAATTATGGTGAATCATTTTCTCCTTCACTGATCTTCGCAGTTACGATTCAGGGACAGCAGTTACTTTGCCATCTGTGTAGCCATTTGCAAATTCCTTTTATGCTTCCTCAAAAGAACGCAGTGCCCCTCCAGCAGTAACAAGTCCCCTGCCCCTCCCACCCTCCTGGTGACCACAGAGACACTTGGTGGAAGTTCGGAGGGTTGGTTGGTTGTTCTGGCATCCTCGGGCCATTGATAAGAGCTCGTGGTGTCTCAGGAAACCCTCTGAGGCTGTCTGTCTGGGCAGCCCCAGCACCATCTTGCATAGGGTGGAGACTCTCTGGGTGCCTTCTGCCCTCGCTCTTTCATCCCTTCCTCCCTGCTCCCGTGAAATAATCTTCTGGGGTTTGGCTCTCTCAGGTCTCCTAGGATCCCCTTCTTCCGTGGACTTCCTTCCTTGGGTTTCCTCCTCAGTCTTCTTCCTGGTTCAGTACATATTGCTCCTTCTCTCCACTCTCTCCAGCATGCCTCCAGCTTCTTGGGGGGACGCAGTCGCGGTGGTCCGAGGCCCTGCAGGGGAGGTAAGGCGCCGGGCGCCCCCGTGCAAACCACCCAGGCGTAGGCCGTATGAGCTCCCACCCCCGACTGCACGCAGCCCCTGTCCTGGCTCCCCTCTGCCTTTCCTGTCCTGTTGCAGTGACTGCACCCTCCCGCTTGGCATGTTGGTCGACCTGCCTGCGTGTGCTCAAAACCTTGCACGATGCTGTTTTCCTTGGATGGGAGTTGGGAGTGGGGAGGGCTGGCTGTTGGTCTTGATGACATGTTATGAGCACGGGGATGGTGGCAGCAGGAGATCAGAGTCCTCAGATAAATACTAAGCCTTCCCTCCTCTCCAGGTATACCCTCATCTAATTTTCACAGACCCTCCAAGTGGGTTTTCTTTCCCACGTTATATTTCAGGAGTTGAGGTTGAAACAGGTGCAGTGACTCATCTGAGGGCCTGAAAGAAGTGGTGGAGCTGAGGTTTGAACCCAGGCAGCCAGAGATTGTCAGCACCCTGTGGTTCTGCTGCTTTGAATTTTAGACAGCACACAATTCTAGAGATAATATAGGTCACATCTCATGGTACAGATGGAGTTGGGACTGACAGCATCGAAGCAGAGGAAGATAACCGTTAGTAGCTCATGGGTGAACTAGAACTACTCACTCGTCAGTTTATTTTCTCCAGTTCTAGGTTCGCCTGCTTGCGAAGGCTCCTGTGTGTTGAGCTGTGTCACAGCTTTGCCTTTTTCTGTTGGTTTCTGTCCTGTGGTTCCGTCTGAGCAGGGATTCTGAGGAAACTGGCTGGAGGGAGGGAGCCAGGGGAGCTGGAGCCTGTGGAGAGGATGGTAGGGTTCCGAGCACAGTGTCTCCCGTGTGGATCTGTTGTTCTTGCTCAACAGTCAGGAGCCGGCTTCGGCCTTGCACCTCTACCGCAGCCTGAGAAGACATGATACCCATCTATTCCGGTGACCATCTGAGCTGTCATTCACAGGACCCAGCCTTCCTCTGAAATGGGATGGAGTTGGCTGAGGACTGAGGGATGCTCCCCAGTCCTGAGGGAGGGCTGTGACTCAGCCTGGAAGCTTGAGGGAAGTGGAAGCCACCTTGTTCTCTGGGCTTAAGTGTGTCATCTATCCTGTGTTTGATGCAGGGAAAGGGGCTGTCCTTAATTTTCTCTTGTTCTAGTTTGTTTATTCAGAAATGGCATAAAAGCCACAAACATCTTGCTGAGGGAGGAAAAGAGAAGCCCTTCATGGAAACCCTGTCATTTCCACAGTGCCTTGTGCCCAGCAAACAGCATGCTCTCCCCACCTCGTCACATCTCTACTGGGCTGACATCTGTGCTTTTGGTGCTGCCCCCAAAGCCTGAATACTGCTCTACCCAGTGCTGTGAGGAAGTCGTCTGTGGACACTGTGGGGACCCATGCCCTTTGTCTGGTGGGTCAGTAGAAGAGGGTGGTCCACTCGCCTGGACAGTCCAGTTGTAGGGGAACTTTGTGCTCTGCACCTCCGTCCAGAGCCTAGGGCTCCGAGATTGCGACTCCTGGGACATAGCTCAGATGGAGGGAGCCCCGGGCTCTGCTAGGTTCAGTTGCTTTTAAACCCCAGAGTTCAGAGCTAATTAGAAAGCAGTCCTCTTGAGGCAGGGACAGCTCAGGGAAGGAGAATAGTTGCACAGCTCGGAGAATGTGAGTGACTCTAAATTGTCTTTGGAGAAGCTATTGAAATGGTGAAGTTTTGCTCTGTATGTTTTCAGTAACAAGAAATTTAGAAGGGGGAAAAAATAAAGCAAAGCCTTCTTCACTAGCAAGGCTGGCTGTCTTTAGAGAAAATGCTTCATCTGCCGGTTGGAACCTCGAGGCACTGCCTTGGACTCCCCACACAGGGTCCATTACAGCCACCGGGGCCATTGAGTGCTGAGCGGCCGGTTCCCTCTTGAATCTAGTCGAGGGATTCGGTCACTTGGGCAGAAAAGCACACTGTTCAGAGGCAGAAGGACTTCATGGGTCAGTGTCTGCAGTTTGGTTTCAGATCAGACCGAAAGCCAAAAATCCCTTCCAAGAGCAAAACCACACGACTGACTGACTGGTCTTGCTTAGGAAAAGCCATGCCAGTCCAGGAGCTTCATGGTCTTATGTATGTTGGACATTATTTTATAGAAGGATTATTGCAGTGAAAATAGTCCCTAATGCTTTGATCGTTTAGTGCTCTGGACTCATAATTGCTTCCTTTCAGAAATACCTTCACACTATTATTTGTGTACAGTGAGATGCAAATACATGCAGTGGATAATTTGATGGGTTTGACAAATTTAAATCCCCATGAAACTAGCACCCCAATAAAAATAAAAACGGTTTCAGTCCCCCCACAAGAGTTCCCACCGGAACTAATTAATGGGAATTAATTGTGCATCTTTCAGAACATGCCCATCAGTGAAGTTGCACATTGCATACTTCCTCATGGCTAGCCGCCTTTTGCTTTTCCTCCAAGTTTGTTATTTTTTAATTTCTTAGTATTTTATAAAAATTTCAGAGTGAGTTTGAGTTCTCCAAGGACCCTCTTTTTAAAAAAAAAGATTCCGTAATCAGTGAATATTGAGCAGTTAATCCGTGCAGCCATCATTCTAAGTGTTGAGACTACAGCAATGGACAGTGTAAACCAACATTTCCATCCTTGTAGAGTTCACATTCTGTTAAATAATTATAGGCACAACTATTATTTATCAAGAATAACTTTTTTTCTTCTACTCAGGCTTCTTGATAGTTCTAGAGTAGATATTACTACGCCCATTTTTTAATATAAATACGGAATGCTTCATGAATTTGCGTGTCATCCTTGCACAGGGGCCATGCTAATCTTCCCTGTTTTGGTCCAGTCAGGGTATATGTGCTGCCTAAGTGAGCACTCCTGTTCCCATTTTATAGGAAACTGAAGAGGAAGCCCTTTTTTAAAATTTTTTCATGACATTTCAGATGTGAGCACAGCTTCCTCTCTCTTCCATCCTTGGATCCTGTCAGCTCATTGCCATCTAGTCAGAGCTGACTCATAACAGACCCGCCAGTGGGTTTTCAGAGACTGTAAATCACAGGAGAGGAGATTGCCCCTCATTCTGCGTCGGAGCCGCTGATGGATTTGAACCTCGAGAGGAGGCCCTTGGGGCTTAGCAGCATGACTGTCTCCGGACTAGGCTCCCACGGCTCCTTCTCGGAATAAGGCTGCTGCACCATGCGTGGTAAAAGGCCCTCCTGGAAACCCAAAACCCAGAGGGCTGTCTACTAAGTGAGTCCTGGAGTTCTTCCCTTTCTTGGCCAGATACATAAACTATCTTCTGTTGTTTTCAAACATACATACCTTGGAATACTGGTGCCATCGTCTACGGGGAGTTGCATTACTAACTCAGGTAATGTGTGTATGCCTTTAAGTTGTTCCTGGTGTGGACCTGGACGGCCCAGTAAAGGACCACTTTTTCGATGGAGAGGGGGAGCCCCACTGTTTACACCCCATCTGAATGAATATGTCCATGTGCCCACTTGCTCACAGTATGCTCGGCTCCCAGCTGTCAGTGGGTTACAGAGGTCAGCCACAGATGACAGAGAAGGTGATTATCGTGCAGGGAAAGGCGTGAACCATCGGAGATGCAGCTGGAAATGTTCCGCCAGCTCAGAGGAGGTGGTGGTTCATTACTGTCGAGTCAGAATCAACTCATGGCTCACCTTTCAGCGAGTTTTCGGAGGCTGTGAATTAACAAGGGAGGAGACTGTCCATCTTTCTCCCTTGGAGCAGCTGGTGGATTCAAACCGTGTTCCTTAGGGTTGGCAGCGCAACTCCTCACCACTGGGTCACCAGAGCCCAGAGGGAGGGAAGCTTAACTTGGGTAGGAGAGCTTCAGCCAGGAGGTGGTTTTGCTTTGTCTTTGAGGAGAGTCGGTAGAATGTAGAATTCTTGGAGCACGATGGTGGGAAGATGCCTGAGGGTTGCTGGGAGGACAGGTGGAGTTCAGGGACAGTGGTGGTCCTGAAGACAATTGAGTTCACGGCTTTGCAGTGAGCACGCCCACTGGCAGCCTAGACGTCCAGTGCCCTGGCATTGCCCATCCCAGTTCTGGACCCTGAGGGGGGACAAGGGAACCCAGTAGGCAGCACGTCTGCCTATGCTACATCAAGTCCACGCTGCATCTCTGGAGTTGACCGGATTCCGTGCTCTGTGGTTGTTTGTCCTGCCCTCCTATAGACAGGCCACTCCCATGAGCAGCCAGCCACCTGCCTGCTTCCCTCTTTCTGTGTCTTCTCTGTTTCTGTTCCGGCATCTGTCCCCCTTCCCCCCAGTCATGAGTCATCTGGCAGGGACACGTTGACACTTGGTGACCTGGGTCATGGAGGCTTTGTATTGAGCAAGCCACCTTCTGTCCCCCAGCCCCCCTGACCTTTGAACTTGCTCACATCCCTGCCTGGCAAAGGGTCAAGGTCAAAGAGCCATGTGAGTTGGACGCTCACCAAGAAAAGCAGTAGTAGTTCCTTACCTCGTGTTTGCAAAGCACTTTGTACTTTCTCAGGCTTGATCAGGCTTGCTGGTTTTTGTCTAGCCGGCCAGTGCTTAAGTACCTACTGTGTGCCAGGTAGTAGAAAGGTGACGGAGGCCAGGCAGGTGCCACTCAAGTGTCTACTCTGGTTGCAGAAACAGGTGTGGGGCATGATGAGATTGGAATAGGTACAGGAGATGCCAGGGCATAGAGCCGGCAGTGGACAGTTAATCCGGCCAGGAGGGGCTCTGCTCAGCAAGGTACAGTGCAGCCGTGTCTTAGGTGAGCAGTACTTTCAGTGGACTTGGGGGACATTTTAGGCAAGAGGGGCTTGAACAAAGTCAGAGAGGTAGCTCCCCACCACGCGTCTGGAGCTGGGACGTTGGGCATGAATGGAATAAGTGGACATGTGGAGAGGTGGCAGGGACTGGGTCTGGAAGGCCTGGAATGGGGCCAGCAGCGTGGTGGACCTTGACCTCGAGCGGTGGGGACTGCCGGAGTGTGTTGAGCAGCAGCAGTTCTCAAGAATCTCTCGGCGACCAGAATGCAGGATTGATTTATGTCCTGGTGCTGAGTGCTTTCTCACCTATATCATGAAAATAATAATCTCACAGTGGCGTTAGCTTGTGAATGAAATGAGATTCAAGGCCACCCTGCTGGGAAAGATGAAGGTTCAGGGAAAGAGAGGAAGACTCCCCCAAAATGGATTGACACAGTGACCATAACAGTGGGTTATAGCGTATCAAAGATTGAGCGCATGACTCAGCCTAGAACAGGCTTCAGATCTTTTGTTCATAGAATTGCTGTGTGTTGTTGTCAGCTTGAAGGCACCTAACAACAACCAAAAAGTTGGCAGTTCAAGTCCACCAGATGCTCTGAGAGAGAAAGACCGGCAGTCTCCTCAAGTAAAGATCTTCAGCTTCAGAAACCCGACAGAGGGTCACTGTGTGTCAGGAGCTGTTTCCTTTGGTTTCGGCTCTGGGCACCGAGACAGCCTTGTCCTGCCCGTAGAATTCCAGGAGGCCAGCCTTTCCTCTCCTCTTCTTCGTACATCTCTGTCTCTGCTGTGCTGCTTGCACAGATCCATCAGTCACTGGCTTAATCTTTTGAATAAAAGATGGAGATTTTTCCAGGCCCCATTTCCTTCCTTTGTGCACCAGAATTTCCCAAGTGGTTAAGTTCTGGTGTCATTTTGCACAGTTTACGTCTGTTTCTTTCCTTCTGTGTTTTACTGGAAGCAGCAAGGAGAAAACCTTTGAGATCTTGCTTGGAATTCTCCTAAACCGAATATCTAATGTCATCTCTACAAATTCCTCCTTCCACAGGTTCGAACATAACTCAGGCTAATTCTTTGCCACTGAACGCAAACAGCACCTTCTCTGTAGCATCCAACCACATGCTCATCGTTTTCTTCTGAAGTCTGGCTAGCAGCACATTTAGAGTTCCCATTTCTAGCCACATTCCGGTCAAGATAATAAAATGAAAGTTTTATTGTATGCTTTTGTTCTTTCTGGGCACTTAGTGTGCATGATTCCACCAAGATTCTCTCCAGTGTAATCAAAGCCTTAACATGAAACACAGCAAAAGAGCAGCATCATGATACATGGAGACAAGGTTGAAGTTGTCGGTGATTTCGTCTTGCTTGGATGTACAATCAACAGCCAGGGCTTCAGCAGAAATCAAAAGATGTGTTGCATCCAGAACATCTGCTGTCAAAGATCTCTTTAAAGGGCTAAGGAGCAACGGTATCATTTTAAAAACTAAGGCGTGCTTTGGTTGAAGCCATTTCAGTTGATTTTTATTATGCATCTAAAAGGTGGACAATGAATAAAATGACAGAAGAGGAATTGATGCCTTGGAATTGTGGTGGCGAAGAGTATTGAGCACCCCTTGGGCTGCCGAAAGAACAAACAAGTTCTGTCTTGGAGGAACTGCCGTCAGGGTGCTCCTTAGAGGCGAGGATGGGGAAACTGTCTCACGTACTTTGATACTTTGGGCCGGTTGATAGGTGGGACCACTCCTTGGAGGAGGTAGTGGGTCAGAGAAAGACAGACTTCGAATAAGATGGACCGGCACAGTGGCGGAGATGGTGAGCTTGGAGCAGGGTGGGGCGAGGTTCTGATCCGCTCATGGGCTCATGAGACAGAGTCAACTTGGCAGCACCCAACAGCAGAGTCCGTAACCAGAATATGGTGGAGACTCGGACACACGTAAGGTACAAGTGGTTTGGTGTTTTGGAAGAGTGCATATCAAACGCTGTGTCGCTCCAGCTCCTGTTGTGTGCAGCTGCTACACTAAGGTTTTGCCCACGTATACCAGTCAGTATAGAAAGTAATGAGTGTCTTGAGTGTGGGTAATTTTTGTCTAACCATTGGAAGGAAAGATCTGGAACAGGTTCCTGGGGAGTTGGCCTGGAAGGACAGGGAGGAGTTGGATGTTGGGCTGACACAGCCTGGTTCCGCATTTGGGGAGTGAATGCCATCTGTCGCCCCATCGCTTGATCCTAGCCTCCGCTAACACCACCTTTGCTTTAGCTTCCTCCTTCCTCTCCGAAGACCTCTGCCTCCCGCTGACTGCTCCAGGCAAATGTCTCCTTGGATGAGCCCACCGTGGGCTGTGGGAAGGGCCTGGAGTGGGGTCCCTGAGCAGGGCAGGTCTGAGGTGTTCTCCTCCCACAGGCCTCTCCCTGGAACGCCTCCCCAACTCCATCGCTTCCTGCCACCGCCTGTCAGAGCGAGAGGAGGACGTCATCACCTGCTTCGAGAGGGCCTCTTGGATTGCCCAGGTGTTCCTGCAGGAGTTGGAGAAGGTGAGCTGGGAATAATAGCTCCGTGCGCATAGCTGCCGTGTTGCATAGCGAGCTGATGGTGGGGTATCGTCTCACGTACATTACTCGTGTTGTCAGGAGGGGCTAGTCCTTGGGAAAAGTGGCAGGTCACAGCGAGAGAGGAAGACCCTCAACGAGATGGACTAACGTGGTGACTGTAACAGTGGGGTCGAGCACTGTGTGTCAGTGAGGATGGCACAGGATAGAGTGAGGTTCAGATCTGTTCATGGGGTCACCGTGGGTCCTAGCTCCCTCCGTGCCACTTAACAACACTGGGGTGCTTTCCATCCAGAGGACTTTTATGCGAGTCAGGAAGAGGCACCTCTCTTGATGGTGCTCCACTTCCATGGTTGGAAAAATGACTCTAGTCGTTGTTCGGTGCCATCAAGTTGAGTGTGATTCACAGTGACCATGTGAACAAGAAGCCCGAATCTGGTTCTGTCCTGTGCCTTCCTCATCATTTCTGTCGCACTTGGTCCCCTTGCTGCAGTCGCTGTCAGTGCACCCGGTTGAGGACCCTCCTTTCCTTTGCATCTCATCACCTTTCCAAGCGTGATACCCCTCGCCAAGGAATTGCCTCTCCTAGCAACATGCCCAAAGTATGTGAGACAAAGTGTTGCCATCTTTGCCTCCAAGACACACTCTGGCTACACTTTTCCCAAGACACACCTGTTTGTTCTTTTGGCAGTCTGGGGGGTATTGAGTTCTCCAGTACCACAGCTCAAAGGCATCAGTTCTTCTGCTAGAAGAAGACTCATTACTGCCAGAACACTGTTCTTGACAAATGTATGCATGCTGCCTGTGAGGAACCTGGAGCCTGTCTGGGGGACTTTACATAACCAAGTTTGACAGCTCAGTCTGTTCCTATTAGCTTGTTTGCTCCTCAGAACAGCTCTGAGAGAGAGGTGTCATGTTTATACCTCATTAGAAGATGAGGAATACATAGGTTTGCAGAGATGAAATCATAGATGTCATGTTTATCCCCAATTAAAAGAGAGATGACATCTTACCTTGGAACTGGTCGAGACAGGCTGGTTCTTGGAATTCAAGAACCTCTCACCTCCGTCCTCCTGCCCCAGAAATTCCCGCCTGGGGAATGTGGAACTGTTCCCCAAGCTCTTTGGAAGCTGCCATAGAGCAAGGTCTCACATGTTCTGAAACTTTCTCATCGCCCATCTGCTGCCCCGCGGTGGACGTTCTGTTAGCAGTCCACCAGGATTATAATCCCCACTTTTGTTTTTCTGAGTTACATTTGAGAGGAGGCCAAACAGCTGCAGTCCACAAATGTAGGGCGACCATTGGATACCCATCTCTGTGATGGGTAGTGTTCTGAACACTTCAGTCTATCCTATAATTTCATACTCAGAGTCATGGTGGTCAGGGGCCATCAAGTCCAGTAGGACCATAGTGACCTTCTGAGGTAAGACCCTTGCCCTGCCCTGAATCATCCTCGCCGTCTCTGTTATACCCAAGCCTGTTGTTAGTCCCTGTGTCTGTCCATCCTTCTGAGAGTCTTCCTCTCTTTCTCTGACCTTCTCCCTTTCTCAGCATGATGTCTTTTTCCAGGACTGGCCCCACCCCCAACATCATGCCTAAAGTAGGTAAGACCAAGTTTCTCCATCACCCATGGTATGAAATAAACCCCCCCCCGCCCCCTCACAGGTTAATTCCTACTTAGAGCAACCTGGCTGGACACAACTGCTCCATAGGGTTTCTAAGGCTAACGGCCTTTACAGAAGAGAAGGCTATCGCATCGTTCTTCCATGGAGTGGCCGGTGGATTTGAACTGCTGACCTTTTAGTTAGCAGTCTAACTAGGACTGCTTACCTCTGCCCCCCAGCTTTGGGACATGGGGCAGTTAAGACCACCTCTTTCTGCCTCAGTGATCCCAAACAGGGATGATGAAGTGTCCTGCTTGATAAGGTCACTTTAAGGATTAAGTAGGCATCCCCATGGGATGCAGAAATGGTCAAATGTCCAATGTAATGGTTTGAACTGCTCAGAGGTACCTCTTAAGAAAAGCCTGGTGCTCTGGTCCTGAAAGACCACAGCCCTCCGAGGCCTTCAGAAAACCCCTTTAGGTTCAGCTCTGATTAGCTGATAGGCACCCAACGGCTGAAACTGACTCAGTGGCTTTTTCTTTTTTTTTTTTTTTTCTGGTAGGGTTTAAAAGATTGGTGAGTTTATAAAGCTCTATGGTTGTTGAAAGGCATTCCAGGTTAACCAAAGGTTAGCGGTTTGAACCTGTCTGCTTCCCCACAGACAAAAGATGAGGTAGTATAAAAATGACAGCCTTGACGACCTTGCGGGGCAGTTCTCTGTCCAGTAGGGACAGCCTATGGACTGGAATACACTTGGTGACAGTGGATTAGGTTTGGTTTAATGATGGTTTAACAGCTTTACGTGTGGAGCTTGAGAACATCCCGCATTTGAGTGGGAAAGACATTCTATATGTATATATGTGTTTTAAACTCTATCAACTTAGGCTGAATTTTGTCAGAATCATGTGCTCTGAGGTGGCAGAGAACCCTCATCTCCTCACCTCCCAGAACTTGATGACAAGGGACTGTCTCTGTGTTTCCCTCCTTAGACAACCAGTAACACCACGTCGAGGCATCTGAAAGTCTCTCACCCGCCTGACTATGAGCTCACCTACTTCCTGGAAGCCGCCCTTCAGAGCGCCTACGTGACCAACCTGAAAAGGGGGTAGGTCTTGCGCACCCGGACCTTTCTCTCTGGGCACTTGCCCTGGCCATTCTGTTTAGTCTGGCCTCCCTCCTTTCCGACGTGAGTGTGAGCATGCTCTCTTGACAGGATCACACGGAGGCTGCTTTGCGTCTCCTCTTATCAGTCCCGAGGTGTGTGAGAGGCACTTTTGGTGAGAAAGGCCAAGTTTCAGGAAGCTCCTGAAGCAGTCAAGCCGGCATGTGCTTTGGAGGGAAGCCTCCTGAGTTGTTATTGTTACATGGCGAGCTCTGGACGCCTGGAAATGATGTGGAAAGAACAAAAGACCGTGAGCCGGGCCAGTGCGATGCTCATCTGGTTTTGGTCTTTGGTGTCTGCGATGTGTCATTTAGCTTCTCTGGGCCTTTGTTTGTCAAAAAACCCCAACATAAGGGCTGATTCCTGCCCCTTCCAGCTTCTGAGGAGTGGTGGGATGAAGTGTCGTGAAGAGAAAGGTTGGCATCCTCTTGGGGTGTGATTGCTGCTGTTGAGTTCACCGAAAAGCTTGTTGTCCTGAGTGCTGACGGGGGCGCTCTGGGGAATACTTGTTTACCTCAGACTCGAGCCTTTTTTCTTGAATGAATACTTTCCTTCATCACATCTCCTTGGTTGAAGGGGTTCCTCTCCTTCAGTAACAGCTCAGTGTGACTGTTCCAGTTGGGCAGCCAGCAGGACGTGGTTGCTGGGTGGTGTGTGGTGGGCAGTCGTGGTGGTGGGGAGAGGCGGGGGGAAGGTACAAAATGAGGACGGTGCAGGTACAGTGGCTCTGAGGTATCTCTATAGACAACCAGCCTTCCTGGTGGGGAGGCCTTCACCAGTGGGCAAGGTCTCCTCCAGGTCGCTCTAGCCAACATCGTGTGCCCCTCATCTCCGTACTCTGTGTCACCACATCCTCCTCTGCTACTGAGGCCGTGCGGCCACCTGGGCAAGCTAATGGATGCAGCCCGTCACTGCAGGACTTCTCTCTTGCACACTTCTTCCCTCACCTGAACAAACAGACGAGGAGACCGAGGGCCAGGATCGCAGAGCCGCCTTTCAAGTGACTGCAGTTCTTTGAAGCCCATATCTTGTTTTGGAATAGTTTATTTTGTTTCACTTATTTTCTTAATTTAACTTCTTAGAAATGGGTGGTTCTTACACACGGCACCAAATTAAACACATGTGAGAGACTAGACACTCCGGTGTCTTCTCTTCGGTTCCATCTCCCAGCCTCCAAGGTGCTTTGTAAGCAGTGTTTCCACAATCTTCTCTATTATCCCAGAGAGCACCCTTAGCATCTCTAGGCACGTATATGCAGATCATTTTTCCTTTTCACTATAAACAGAACTCTGGTAGCATGTTGTTGTTATATACTGTTGGGTCAGACTGGCTCATAGCTGACCATCCAGTGGGTTTTCAGAAGCTGTAAGTCACACGGAAGGAAATTCCTATCTTACCATCTGACTTTGGGTTGGCAAGACAACTCCTGACCAGCCAGCCACCAGAGCCCCCTTTTGAGACATCGTCTGTAGGAAATTGTGTTGCTTCACCCTTTTTAATTCTTTGGATCCACCAGCGGCCCCCCAGGAGAAAGATGGGCAGTCGCCTGCTGTGCTTCTGACCACCTGCTGCAAGGTCCGTTCTGACGCAGCATCAGTGAGACAAGAGGATGTTAGGAATACCGTACCCATTTGTCTTTTTTTTTTTCCATTTGTCTTTTTAACTTGCTGCAGTACCTTGGAGATTATTCCATATTACGACTTAGAAAGCTCCCTTTTCTTCTAGGTGACTGTATACCAGATCCCATGGTAGAAGTGGACAGTACTTTGTTTTACTAGTTTCCTGTTGATAAACCTTTGGAGTACTTCCAGGTGTTTTTCTTTTAAACACGCCCCAGAGTCCATATATACTTTTCCTATCCATTATTTCACAGTCTTCCATATGATGGATTCCCGCGTAGCAAACGTCTTGGTTAGCAGGTATGAGCACTGATAGTTTGTTGTTGTTTCTTAATTTGCTTGAAGGTTCACAAAGGTTAGTAGTTTTTCATCCTATCATTCCTAGGCATTTTCTTTTGTAACACTAATTGCCATTGATTCACGTGATTGATGACACTGTCCAGTAAGCGCCCCTTAGCCTTTCCCTTTACGCAGCTCATCTGTTTCTTGATCTTCACTCCCCTCTGCCTGCCTTCCTGGTGGTGCTGCCGGGGCCTCACAGATTGTGCCGGTGGAGGCCGGCCCAGTGTCGAGTCTTCCGGGGATAGATGGTGTTTCCCAACACTACACGTTACCAGGCTTTCGGGAGCTCTGCTGGTGTGATTGGCAACATATGGTATCTGAGTGTTTTATATTTTCGTCTTTCTTAAAAACTAAAACCAGAGCCCCTGCTGTCAAGCCTCTTCCAGCTCACAGGGACCCTTCTTTACGTCCAAGCCTGTAAATGTTTATGGAATAGGCTGCCGCTTTTCTCCCACGGAGCAGCTGGTGGATTCAAACTGCTGGCCTTTCAGTTAGCAGCCCCATCCCTTATACACTGTGCCACCAGGACCGCTTCGTTTTCTTAGAGTCACTGCTGTCCTTAGGTGCTTTCAAGGCAGCTATGACTCACAGCGACCCAGTGAGCAACAGGCCTGATCCTTGCCCTGTCTGCACCCGGCTCAGGCCCACTGCTGTAGTCACTGCGGTCAGGGTCTTCCTCTGACCCACCCCCTTGCCCACATGATGCCTTTTTCTAAGAACTGGTTCCTCCTGACAGCACGCCTGAAGCCTGTCAGACCACGTTTCCCCGTCCTTGCTTCTGAGGTGAACGATATGTTTATGTGTACAGAACTGTGTGTATATTGAAAAAACACACTTACGCAGTTTATTTATTTCCTCCCATCAGTCCTGGTTTACATGTTGTGTGTTGGGGGGGGGGGAAATTTAAAAACAAAAAGACATTTAAAAAAAGGAAAATAACAATACCATATTTGAACTTTAAATCAGGAATTGACAAATTATAGCCCTTTGACCAGGGGCCTGTTTTCATTGCTTTTTAAAATCTCTTTTTGGTTTATTTCTTTAAAATATTTTGAATATTATGTTTAGTATCCTTCTCTGCTTTGCCCAATAGCTGCATAATAGCAACAACAGTAGGACTGAGACTAAGCATTTAGTATTTGGCCTTTTACAGAAAACCTTCTACGGGGTGTGGACCCTGCTCTAAACAGATGTCTCATTTGATGTATCATGGTTTTCTGTGTACAGGTGTGTAGGAATATTTTTCTTTCTTAAACAATAGTGGTAAAGTGATGCCCTGTAGTTCATGCTACTGTATGGCCTTGAGTTTCTACTTTTTTTTCCCCCTAGTTCCTCTTGGGGTGTAGGGACGGTTGGGGATGGTGCTGAGACACTCCCACAGGGGGACACAGGTCCAGCAGATGTAGCACTTTGGGGTGGGTTTGTGCAGTGGGGCAGGCTTCCTGGAGATGGTGGGCCTTGAACTGGGCCCTGAGGCAAGGAATGACAGGGATCGAGCAGGTGGGACAGAGCCTGGGACTGTGGGACAAGTGACAAGTCAGTGGCTAAATCAGTATAAAGGCCCCTTGAAACCTTTAGGACAAGAATGTGTGTAGTGAATACCCAAGTGACGCCTAAGGCTTTTCCCTTTGAGGTGGAGAGATGGCTGTCCAAGAGACAGCGTCAGGCCCTGAGGTCTTCGAACCGGAGCACCGGCTCTTTCCTTTAACCCTACAGCCTGGTCTTACCAGAACTATGCCCGGGCTTCCGTTTGGAAGCTGAGCTGGGCCTAGTCCTCCACTGGCATTCCAGAGCGGTGTGGTGAGGGCCCCTCATCCCCTCAGGAGCAGGGGTGACCGTGATCTCTCTCCCTTCTGCCCCTGTGGCCCCAGGTAGGGTGAGAAGAGGCAGGATGTCGTGTGAAGGAAGGAACACAGTGCAGGAGTTCTCTGCCTGAACACCTGTGTGGCCTCGGGCATGTCCCTGGAGTGCCCTGTCAGAGCGATGACAGTGGCTCCGGTTGTCCCTCTCTGGGCCCACAATGAGACGCCATCGCAGAGCCTGTCCTGTTCAGTGAGACGCCATCGCAGAGCCTGTCCTCTTGTCCCTCTGGGGGCCTGCAGTGAGACGCCATAGAAGAGGTGTCTCAGCTGCTTAGAAAACCACAGCCGTTCTTGTTTATTTTTTTCCTTCCTCATAGCTGCTCACAGTGGGACAGGCTGTTCAACCAAGCAGAAACCTTTCACCATTTGGGTTTTCTTTTCTTTTCTTTAAGTTCTCAAGAGCCAGGCCCGGGAGGTGGTGAGGTCTGTTTGGTGCATGAGGATCCAGAGAGCATCTATCTCTGAGGATGGGACTGGCCCGCAGCCGCCGGGCCCCTCAGTCCACCTTTTAGCTTCAAGGTGGGCCCCTGAGAGCCCAGCTGCCTCCTCTCCTGCCCCGCCATCTACCCTTTGGTCTTTTCTCGGTTTGGAGTGACAGTGACCCGGCTGAGTGGTTTCTCATTTCAGTGCTCGGATGGTGCCTGCCTAGCAGACTCTCAGGAGAAACCCGCCTGCAGAGATTCAGGAGGACTGTTAGTGCTTTGAGAAATCGAGGGGGGCCTGGGGAAGTTCAGCTCTGCACCAGTAACCAGCTGTGACCCGCCACTTGTTTTTCTCAGAAAAGTTTTAATAAAACACATGTATACACATTCTTTTGTGGCCGAACCCATCCATAGGATTGAGTGACTGAGCTTGGATGATCCACAAAGCCTCAAATATCAAATACTTGCCCAGGAAATACTGGCTAACCTCTTCCCCTCAGAGACTGAGGAACACTTCCTCACTACCCCTGCCCCTCATGGTCCATGATTCTCATAGGCACCAACGGTCCTGATGCTGTTCCTGCCTTGAGCATAAGCTGTGGGTGGGGAGGAAGAGTGGAGAAGGGAGGAAGTGACTTGCTCTGTGCAGAACATGGGTTAAGAGTGCAGGCATCTTTGGATTTCAGAGCTGACACGCT